TCACAATCCAGTCATTTTTACTGCTTTTCGGTAATATTGGTATATACTAAGTTTCAGTCTTTCTAGTGTTAATCCTGGGTACCATCTGGTCTCCAGTTTAAGACTGTCTCTCTTTCTGAGGGGCACCATCGACACTGCCAGATGTCGACAATCGCACCTGTCCGAAATTACCTCGCCTTTGTCAAGAGATTGCTAACTCAACTTGTACAGTTCTTGCAGTTAATCGAGAATTACTCAAGATAAAAAAAAAAGAGTAAATTGTAGAAACAGAAGGTGCAGCGCATATTTAAGCTTGATCTTATCGTACTCCTGGCTATTTCTGTAGCCTGTTTAATACGTTTCGACGATTAAACGTACACACATACAATAAAATCTATTCGGTTTTTGCTGATTCTTACCTTCCACCTCATTGCACACTTTTTCGAGAACTCCCGGAAGACGATCTTCTCCTCGGGATGCTTCTTCTTGTGTTCCTGGCGACACGTTTGTACGAAGAACGCGTACGCGGTCATCCGTCCCCTTGGCTTTGAATCCTTTCCTCTCGGCATGTTGTCACGCTGTTGCAAACTCTGAGCGTTATTTTGCTGGAGATTATTCTGTTGCTGCGACAATTGCTGTAACTGGTGCTGCAATCGGAGAAATCAAAACGGTACCGCGGTCAGAGGATTCAACTGTCTGATTAACAGAGACCTTTCAATAATATTTCCCGTACATTTTTACTCTCGTTAATCAAGAAATTATGATTGTAATTCCGTGCTTTCCACTCCTCTTCTATTCTTTGCAAATAGCTATTTAATATCGTCTAGGATAGAAAAAAATATATGTTTAGATCATCGTTTCAAATTGTTCTCTCACACCTTCCTACCCTTCGTTTTAAACTTATCGATTCTTTGATGCCTCTCGTGTTTAAAAACAGAGCTCTCTTTTTATACATGTTAGTTCCAATCATTCAGTTTCTAACGTACATCTCCTCTTTCTAATTCGTGCAAAGCATTGCTTCCTACATTTACTCTATTCCATGAGTACAGTCAGAAATTTGATCAAATTCATAAATGAAGACTCTCAGACTAGTTAAGAAACTGTTCCATTCGTAAACAGTGTTTTTTCTTTGTACCATCAAATGGAAAAAATCGAAAACTTCATTAATGTTCATAATGAAGATTAATTAAACGAGAGGAATTACTTTTAGATTGCGTACATTTATGTAGCCAACAAACATTTGCACGTACGACCAAACAGAAATTGATATTAGTGCTTAGTCAAATGATTGATTTAACGTAAACGCAAGCTGTGCGAATAATATTTATAGGATTAAACGCTGGAACGCTTATTAAAATCGTCATTCATTCGTTTAAAAGATTGCCATAGTTCCCTCGTCCTTTCATAATTAATTCAACGATATCCTATAATTCCTGGCGGTTCTAAAAAAAGAAACTAAAATATGACGTAACAATCGATAGAATTTCATTTGGAATAATGAACAAAAGAAAAAAAAGATAACCAATGATTAAGATCGCAGGTCCTGAGGCGTTTCTTCTCCATTCGTAGGAATAGAAAATCTATAATAACTTAAGAAGACGTCTTCTGATATAAAAATAGAAATCCCAGTTAAAAATATAAACTATTTTTACAGATTTTCTATACGAGTTTCCTTCTCCCATCGGTATTAAATTTTCGGACTACTTTCCGACTTTCACCCGATAGATACAGAGTTTAATCTTAACTTTCATTCACCATCGCCTGCAAATACGTTTTCGATATTTAATACCTTCGAATCGAAACGTTCGCAAACCTATTTAATTCATGTGCCTCTTTTTACTGACCGATAATCAATTTCATAACCTCAGAAATATTTCGTTTCCAATTCCGTAATTAAACGAATCCACGTTAAATACTACGAGAGATCTATTTATACGACCTGTACACGGTTCAACGACTACTTGTTGACATCCTCGCAGTGAATTCGAATATGTAAACCCGCCAATTGAGAATGCGCGGATATTTACAGTCGATATTCGTCATTCACGTATGTCGCGGAGAAAAAACGTGTTTATCTCGGTATTCTAATTAACAAGAAGTTTAAAATAAATAATTCACAGTTAGGTTAAGAAGTATATCATAGAAATATGAGAATTTGATTAATCAGAATGTAATTCGAAGTCTGCCATTAGAAGATCGTATGCCTAACCTTAATTTAAACAATTATACAATAAATTCGTTTATAAAACGTTTCTTATTCTTAGAAATCTCTGAATATTATTTAATTACTCTCCTTATGGAATTTCTATTTCTAGATAAATGAAAAAGCAGTTCGATCGGGAGAATCGAAAAAAAAAAAAAAAAGAAGGGAACCGGCGCGGCAAGAGCCGCCTGTACGAACGTACGTACGAAGAAGGCCGCACGAAACCCGGAATCAATAGCGGACAACGGTCGGTGGGGCAAGAGACGCGAGTCAGGATGAAACGCAGACAGTAGAGTACGAAACCAGCCGCGATAGAATCGCTTATTAACATTTTTTATCAAAACCCATAATTAGAAATCAGACGATTTTCAAATTAATCAATAATTAATTAACAATCTGAATTCCCTGCCGAGTCTCCTCGTACCTTCACAATCAAAGAGACCAGAATTCTTCGAACGTACAAAACGTATTATATATAATTTGCAAATTGATGTTCAGCCACGTGTTATCATAATTACAGTAATTATGGTAGCTGTCCCTTACGTCTCCGTATGAAATATCGATACTCGTTCAGCTAATCAAAATTGATACCTTTCAGAAAAAAAATAACAGAAACAAGAAGAAGATTAAAGAAGACCCGAATTGTTAATCTATGCACGCGACCAATTAAGCGTAAACTATAGTAAACGTGTTCTCGTCGATTCGACGAGAGACAAACCTACTATATGAAAATTGGAAACAAGTTAGAATGGCTAGATGATCTAATGGTTAAAAAGCGATGCTGAGAGGATTGAATCGGACTCGTCTTCGAAGCGGATAAAAGAATCCCGCGCAAACAGAAGTAAACTCGGACCGTACTTAGGTAGGTACGTACGAGTAGGAGCGAGAGAGAGAGAGAGAGAGAGAGCGCAGGTATACAGAATATATATATATACCGGAGAGAAAAATAAAATGGAGAAGAAGAAGCAGGCAACGACGAGAGAAAGAAGAAAACTAGGAAGAAGCGTAAAGGGGGTTTCGATCGCAACATACCGGGGACATAACGGGGGGCGTGGACGTTTGTGTGGTAATGGGCGAGAGGTGCTGCTGCTGCTGTTGGCCCTGCAATTGCTGATGCAGGTTGTTCTGTCCGGCGTCCATAACTCCACCTGGATACCACCACTGTACGCCAGGCGGTGGTGCGGAAGGTGTACCAGGTACACCGCCGCCCGCTCCGGGCCCCGTTCCTAATCTATAATCATATCCTCCCCTCATGCAGGAGCCGACCGGCGTCGAAGTCGAGACGGGATTCGACTGTGTGCCCGTGGTGGCTGGATTCTGAAAGCTGGAGGCCATCTTGTAGGAGAAAAGCTGCTGGGTAGCGGCGGCGGTACTCCTAACGATATCCTGATGATGCTGTTGCTGAGCCTGCTGCTGCTGCTGAGATAGCTGTTGCTGCTGGTTCATCAAGTGTTGGTGCAGATTCTGTTGCTGCTGCGCTTGCTGTTGCGCTTGCTGCTGCGCCTGCTGCTGCGCTTGCTGCTGTGCTTGCTGTTGTGCTTGCTGTTGTGCTTGCTGCTGCTGTTGTTGCTGTTCGGCCGATACGGCGTTCAAACCGGAGGGCCACCAGGCGGTACCACCGGAGCCGTCCTCGCGGTTTCCTGGGCTCGGTGTGCCCCAGCCACCGGCTACGCGGTGGTGTTCCGACATATCGTACACGCGGATCGTCTGGTCTGTCACGTTCGCGGCCTCGTTTGCCGAACGGTACCACCAACGAGGGGGAAAGAAGGACGCACGAAGAAATTACACGACACGAGCTCACGCACCACACACGCGCTGCTCCTCCTCTGTCTCCCTCATACAGCAGGACATACACGCATAGGACGCGCACGCGAACGTTGCGCGCGCGCGCACGCACTCGCCCGCTCGCTCGCTCGCTCTCAGGAACAGGTACTCATACGCACACCCGCCCACACATTCGCACAGATCCTCGTCCTGTTCGCGTTCGTCGTCGCGTTCGTCGTCGTCGTTGTGTTTCGCGCGACACGCACCGCACGCGCTACCGTGTTGCCCCGTGCTCCTGCTGCTGCTGCTGCTGCTGCTGCTGCTCTTCTTCTTGTTCCTCTCTTTCTTTCTTCCTATCTCTCCCTCTCGCTCTCTCTCTCTCGCTCGCTCTCTCTCTCTCTCTCTCTCTCTCTCTCTCTCGTTCTGTTCACTGTGACACACCACGTTTCCCTCGTCCAGCCGGTGCACTACACGATCACCACTAGTACTCCTGGTAGCACGCCCGCTCCTCGTACACGCTTTTTCCACGATCTATAGATGAGAAGGTCCTCGTGAATACGAACGTTATACTTGGGTTGCGGTCTACTCGACGCTACGCTCAACCGTTCGTTAGCTCCGTGAGTAGGTATGGCGGGTAGAGGAGGAGAGCGGGCGGGTGGGTAGGGGAGGGCGCTCTCTCCCCTTCTAGCTCTTTCTTTTTCCCTCTGTATCCCCACCATCGACAGATACGCTGCTCCGCTGCGTATCTCCGTCTCCGTCTCCGGTCTCTCTCTCTCTCTCTCTCTCTCTCTCTCTCTCCTTTCTGCCCCGACTCTACCGCTCTATACTATGTCTTCTTCCCTACCCTTGCTCATGGAACCACTCAATTTTTCTCTTACGCCGGGCATACGACTTGTCTATCCTCGTTCATTCGTCCAGCGGAGATATTTCGAGCGCATCGCTCTTCTCGCCCGGTGTATCCGTAGTTCTACTACTACTCTTCTTCCTACTCCTCCTCGGAAAAACGCGTAGACGCTAATTACGCACTGTACGCGACACCACGCGCGATACTCCTTCTTCTTGTTTTACGGTGTACATACGACGACGACGACGACGTTCTTCTCTCTCCCTTTCGCACACAGTGGTAGTGGAACGCGTAATAGCTTTTTCACATGGAGAAGCTTACGCGCGCGGATCGCTTCTCTCGGCACGGACTCTACACGCGATGCCCCGCACACACAGAGGGCGAACCTGGCGAGGACGGCTCGCTCGCTCGCTTGCTTGCTTGCTTGCTGCCGATGGTGCTGGCTGGACGCTTGTATATTCTCTCTCTTTCTCTTTCTCCGGTGTGTCCCCTTCTCCGAGTCCCTCGCTGGTTCTCCTCTCTTTCTCCTAGCGTTCCTCCGTCCTTTTTCCACCAGGCAAGAGCTTAGCCTTCCTTCCAGCGGACGCCGCGCCGGCGAACTCCCGCGGCGTTGCCAGGCCGCGCTTTCACCCGCCCGCTCACAAAGGAAAACCCGAACGGTCCGACCAATCGAACGACGTTTTAACAGAGGTGGGGATGGCGGGAGTCTGACGCGGCTAACGTCGAGGCAACGTCGCTTTTCTCTCTTCCGTTCCGTAGAGAATTCGAGAGCCACGGCTTCGTAGTCGTCCCCGGTAAGGTAGAGGGGCGAACGACTGCAAACCCTTCTCTACCCTTGAAACTCGAGGTCAACTTTTAGGCAGAGAAAGAGAACGAAAGGGAGAGGAAGACGTCGACTCCTCTGACTTGTCGTCGTCGTCGTCGTCGTCGCGCGCTCTTTCTTCTTCTTCTTCTCGCGCCTTTTTCTTTTTTTCTTCTTTTTACCCTTCTTAGTTTCGTTACACTGCTACGGTCACTGGAATTTGCTCCACATTGGTACTTCCTGCTTTTCGCGCACCCTTTTTCCTCCGTGTCAACCCGCAACGTTCACCGCCGCGACCGACCGTCCTGTCAGTCGATACGGAAGAACAAAATTTTCAAACATTACCCAAATTGCCTCCTTTTCATAGCTCCAAATACAAATTTTATGCTCACGCTATCGTCCTTTGCGGAGGTTCTCTCGTTTTAGTTCCATTTAGCGTACACTCGGAGAATATTCCAGGAAAGATACAGTCTTGACAGTGAATCACGTTTACACGAGAGAACAATTAATATAAACTCGTTCTTGTAAAATTCGATAAATCGTAAGGGACTGGAATGTAATTTCAAACTTATACCCTGCGACTGACGCATACCCCATAATTCCTAGGCGCTTGTCCGAGAGATCGGATCTATTAAATATGGAAAACGTATCGTGGGAACTACCATCGGCGCGCGTCCTCCGGAGAAAATAATTCCTAACGTCGCCGATGTTCCCTTATTTTTTCAATTCGTACGAGAGACAAAATGAAAATGTATATCATAGGATTTATACGTTGGGTTTCCTTTCTTCCCACTCAACCCCCAATCAAGAGGCGGGTGAGTCGGAGGTAACCCGGCGAATCGAGAGGGTGCGATAGAGACAGAACGTAGAACGAGAGAGAAAGAGAGAGAGAGAGAAGAGGAGAGAACCGGGTCCGGGTCAATAAGACGCGCGTGCGAGTGAAACAGAGAAACGTCGAGGAGCAAGAGAGAGAATGACCGCGCATTCCCAGGGCTAGGCAACGTAACGAACGAACGAACGAACGAACGAACGAACGAACGAATGCAAGAAGGGGCACACGGTGAACAAGGGAAACGGTGGAATGGCAAGAAAAAGATAGGCTCCGATGACGAGAGTAGAGAGAGAGAAAGAAAGTCAGCGTCGGCCAGAGTGAAAAAGAAACACGTCGAAAGAGAAAAGGCACACAGCAGGCAACGAGAGAGTCCTGGCTTCAAATTCTCCGTTCGTACCGCGATGTTCGTTCGAGCGAGCCGAGCCGATTCACTCCGAAACGCAACGATCTCCCTCGAAACGATTCCCAAACCAGGTATACCTGTGTGTATAACAGATGAAAGAGTAACCGATTTTACGACACTACCTAGGAACTAGAAAATGAAAATACCGTTCGGGTTCGAAGAAAATCTGTTGGTCATATTTTTTACAACCTTCGGGGAGGTAGCCAGAAAATCTCCTCTAGCAATTCGAACGTCTCTTCTAGGCAACGACGTAGCATTTCTACGGTTCTTATATAGCATGTTAAACAACGGACTCATCTTTCTATGATAAATACCTTAAAGAAAATGTTCTTTCTTTTCCTCAGATTCAATCGTTCCTCTTCACAGTCAATCACTACTTCTCATTCAATTCAATCAACACTTTTGATTCGTTCCAATCCGTATTATAAAATATCCTCGTAGGAAAGTATATAAAATTGCTTCGTCTCTTAACGACTTTTTAGGCGACACGAAATTTGCCAGCACTAGAAAAGGAACGTGGCATATATCTCATGGACCGTGCGTACACACTTGCGTGTGCGTTCGTCGGATGCACCTGTATAAAGAAGCAGTGTGAAATACATTTTTCGGGACGAATTCTTTCTCTTTGTAACCAAGTATGTATGTATGTATGTATGTATGTATGGTTCGTGCAACGTTCTCCCGGGTTTTCTTGACATCGAATAAATGGTAATTGCGAACTACACGTACGTACGTGGCTCTGAACGTGCCAGTCAGTATTACGCAAGATCACTTTCAATTTTATTATTCCTATATTCGAAACTGCTCTCGCGTTTCGTTATAAACGCGAGGCATTATTCATTGTACGTTCTTTGTAAATTAAAAACGAGGATAGCACGGAACACAATTTTACTAGATATTAGAAACATTGCCCTAACTTCGTCCACAATGGGAATAAAAACGAGTGGAACTTCGTTTGTAGCCAAAGAAACTGTAAACAATCACTTAGAGCACATGCCTGCTCGAGCATGGCATTAATAAAAACTGATCTTGTAGTATGGAAAATATTCAACTGGCCTTAAAATCGGAGACGTCAATTAGGTAGTATCAGAAACGTCTTATGTGGGTCAATGGACCACGGGAATATGAAAGTATGCACGCGTTTTAACAGAGTAACGAAGAGGTGTCCGTGTTTCGAAACGACTAAATTCATTTAATACACAAAAATATTTAATCGATCTTTCCCTACAGTATTTATAGAACGAAATCGACAGTCCTCTACGCGAAATTTCAACACAGTAATAATACCCGGTGATTATTAATAGCTGCATAGAAATTTTATAGCATATAAACAATGGTTAAATGTTGATACTCGATAATCGATTATTAATACACGTTGCAGAGATATCGCGTTCCACTGCGACACGCACTCTACATTCTATTAAGCGTTTACAGGAATAATAAAATTGATCAGAAACAAATAAATTACGGTCTTCGACCGTTCGCTGTTTACGCTCGTGCTACCCAAATCCTTATCTCTCCGCTATCAGTGACTCAACCATTATTTCCTAATTTATGTATTCCTTAGAAATACTGTATTCAAATCTCGTGTATATCGACGCTGCTCTTTATCTTCATTTCTTATCCGAGCGTATAAACCGTCCAATGGTTTACCAAGCAAATAAACATAGGGTAATTAGTTTTTTCACGTTGCTTCCATATACACTCGTGCATCCTCCTCGACAACAAACGCACCCTGCGAAATATATGAACGATCGTAATTCTGCAATCTACTGAGTTTCTACTAACTACCAATAACAGTTGTTCAATAACCAGTCTGAGCCTTCCTCGTGTACCAATTGTTTCGAATCTTATGAATTAGAGGCAGCAGAGAGTCTTTTATCTGTGCGCTTTAATTTGTAAAAAAAAAAATGTCGTCGTCGTCGTCGTCGCGCGCTCTTTCTTCTTCTTCTTCTCGCGCCTTTTTCTTTTTTTCTTCTTTTTACCCTTCTTAGTTTCGTTACACTGCTACGGTCACTGGAATTTGCTCCACATTGGTACTTCCTGCTTTTCGCGCACCCTTTTTCCTCCGTGTCAACCCGCAACGTTCACCGCCGCGACCGACCGTCCTGTCAGTCGATACGGAAGAACAAAATTTTCAAACATTACCCAAATTGCCTCCTTTTCATAGCTCCAAATACAAATTTTATGCTCACGCTATCGTCCTTTGCGGAGGTTCTCTCGTTTTAGTTCCATTTAGCGTACACTCGGAGAATATTCCAGGAAAGATACAGTCTTGACAGTGAATCACGTTTACACGAGAGAACAATTAATATAAACTCGTTCTTGTAAAATTCGATAAATCGTAAGGGACTGGAATGTAATTTCAAACTTATACCCTGCGACTGACGCATACCCCATAATTCCTAGGCGCTTGTCCGAGAGATCGGATCTATTAAATATGGAAAACGTATCGTGGGAACTACCATCGGCGCGCGTCCTCCGGAGAAAATAATTCCTAACGTCGCCGATGTTCCCTTATTTTTTCAATTCGTACGAGAGACAAAATGAAAATGTATATCATAGGATTTATACGTTGGGTTTCCTTTCTTCCCACTCAACCCCCAATCAAGAGGCGGGTGAGTCGGAGGTAACCCGGCGAATCGAGAGGGTGCGATAGAGACAGAACGTAGAACGAGAGAGAAAGAGAGAGAGAGAGAAGAGGAGAGAACCGGGTCCGGGTCAATAAGACGCGCGTGCGAGTGAAACAGAGAAACGTCGAGGAGCAAGAGAGAGAATGACCGCGCATTCCCAGGGCTAGGCAACGTAACGAACGAACGAACGAACGAACGAACGAACGAACGAATGCAAGAAGGGGCACACGGTGAACAAGGGAAACGGTGGAATGGCAAGAAAAAGATAGGCTCCGATGACGAGAGTAGAGAGAGAGAAAGAAAGTCAGCGTCGGCCAGAGTGAAAAAGAAACACGTCGAAAGAGAAAAGGCACACAGCAGGCAACGAGAGAGTCCTGGCTTCAAATTCTCCGTTCGTACCGCGATGTTCGTTCGAGCGAGCCGAGCCGATTCACTCCGAAACGCAACGATCTCCCTCGAAACGATTCCCAAACCAGGTATACCTGTGTGTATAACAGATGAAAGAGTAACCGATTTTACGACACTACCTAGGAACTAGAAAATGAAAATACCGTTCGGGTTCGAAGAAAATCTGTTGGTCATATTTTTTACAACCTTCGGGGAGGTAGCCAGAAAATCTCCTCTAGCAATTCGAACGTCTCTTCTAGGCAACGACGTAGCATTTCTACGGTTCTTATATAGCATGTTAAACAACGGACTCATCTTTCTATGATAAATACCTTAAAGAAAATGTTCTTTCTTTTCCTCAGATTCAATCGTTCCTCTTCACAGTCAATCACTACTTCTCATTCAATTCAATCAACACTTTTGATTCGTTCCAATCCGTATTATAAAATATCCTCGTAGGAAAGTATATAAAATTGCTTCGTCTCTTAACGACTTTTTAGGCGACACGAAATTTGCCAGCACTAGAAAAGGAACGTGGCATATATCTCATGGACCGTGCGTACACACTTGCGTGTGCGTTCGTCGGATGCACCTGTATAAAGAAGCAGTGTGAAATACATTTTTCGGGACGAATTCTTTCTCTTTGTAACCAAGTATGTATGTATGTATGTATGTATGTATGG